CTACTAGAACTCGTATACTATGCCAGTGGGAATACAGATTGGTATAACTCTTTGGGAAAGTCGCAGTATCTATCTACCAACAAGCTTTTAAGCCACATAAATACAATTCTACAGCAAGAGAAATTTTCACACACACATGCCTAAAAGACATGTATAAGACATGTATAAGTATGTAAGGTACAAAACCTGGTCATGATGAAATACATTGAAAATTAAACTACTGCTACACATAGGAATCTCATATACATAATATTAAGACAAAGAGGCCACACATAAACAGGTTAAACTCTATTGTTATATTTATAAAACTGAAAAGCAGGCTAAACAATCTATAGTATTGGAATTCAAGAAAGGGGTTGCCTTGTGAAGGATTGGAATTTTGACTTGGAAAGAAAAAAAAGAGTCCTTTGGCCGGGCGCGGTGGCTCACACCTGTAATCCCAGCAATTTCAGAGGCTGAGGAAGGCAGATCACCCGAAGTCAGAAGTTCAAGACCAGTCTGACCAACATGAAGAAACCCCGTCTCTACTAAAACTATAAAACTAGCCAGGCATGGTGGTGCATGCCAGTAATCCCAGCTACTCAGGAGGCTGAGGCAGGAGAATCACTTGAACTCAGGAGCCAGAGGTTGTGGTGAGCTGAGATCCAGCCCATTATACTCCAGCCTGGACAACAAAAGTGAAATTCCATCTCAAAACAGGAAAAAAACAAAACAAAACAAAAGGGCCCTTCCAGTGTTGTTGATTATGTCTTATTTCCTAATTTTATTGGTATCACACAGGTTTGTAGACATTCTGATAATTCATTTGTCTGTTCATTTATGATTTGTGCACTGTTCTTATGTATGTTTTAATACAAGTACTTACTTAACCTGATACATGGTTATTTTTTTATACCAGAAAACAGAAGAGACTAAAGTAGAAAACATAAAAATTACTTTGATTCCGCTAGTGCATTGACTTCAAGTCTTTATATTTTTTATTATGCAGGTTTGCACATGAATAATTACTAGCATTGGTAGTTTTTCTAAGTTAACACAGATTATCAAAATATGTTGAAGAAATCAAGAAAATGTTGAATAGACCAATAATCATAGAAACATGAGAAATTCAAAAAGAAATTATCAGGCCCAAGATAATCTTTGTCTAAGTTTAATATTAGGTTGTCCTAACTTTTAAAGAATAAGTGATTTCCATGCAATGCAAAAAATCTTAGACCACAGTAAATAATTTCTTAAAAAAACCCTTTCCATTTATTTTTGCAACAGGAATTTTTTCCCCTCACAATTGTTGAATTAGTGCTTCTTTTTAATTTATTTTGGTTTCTTGTTTTCATAAATAATCACCTACACATTTGTTTCTGTTTTCCATACTGGTCATGTGTTTTCTCTCATTGTTTTCATAGTTTATCTTTGCCCTCTGAAGTTCTGAAGAAACTGAGTGCTCCTTCAGTTTCCTTTTCACAAATATGATTGTTATTTGTGTCCTCCAAAGACAGATATTGTTCTTCTGTAACATTTTTGTTTCCTTACAATGGCTTGTACTTCAGTTAATCCAATCTCTGTGTTTTTTATTTCTGAGTCATTCAATGCATATACAGGGATGGAAAACAATTTTCTAAAACATTTCTCTGGTCTCTATATTAACTCTTGCTTAACATATGCTTTTCCTCTGAGACTTTAATTTTCCATGTCAGGTAATTACTACTGACAACCAGCTTTGCTTTGATGATCTTGTTATTTTTTTTTTCTTTTTTTTTTTTTTTTTTGAGACGGAGTTTCGCTCTTGTTACCCAGGCTGGAGTGCAC